ACCAATGCCACAACTACACGCAGGACACTATTCAGAGTGAGATTTAATAAAATCAGGTTTATATTAAAAATGTTCTTACCGAAAATTTACGCAGTTAACACAAACAATTCTACAAAACTGTTTTTGCAACGTTCCGGAGGCTTAGCCCCCAATACCAGAACAATCAGTAAGGTTCGTTTGGCGCATTTTGTTTTCGCACTATTTTATACTTTTTCGTTTCACTGTGCATCAATTTAGGCCGCTTTGGCTGTAGACATTTCCTCTCGTCATTTGGCTTTAAAAGTTTAGTCATAGTGCAGTGCTTTTGACATTTTACCAGAGCCTCACAAACAAATGGCGCATTTCCATTTCAAACTATTTCAAAGCAATTTCGATGCTCTCACCAGGAGAGAGTTGACTGCAAACATGAGACCAGCTCAGATCACGTGGCTTCATAAACTTAAAAATAAATCTACGTCTTGCGCTCGTAATATGTAAAAACGTTTCTCAGAAAAAGGCTCAAAGTTGCCAAAAATTCTACTCAGTAACCCTTTAACCGGTCACAGCGATGGCATACTACTTACATACAAAAAGCCTATGCTAGTTGAAAGCCCTCTACTTCAGTTCACCAACGCCCTTGCAATCAGAAGATTTGAAAGCCAGTTACATCGAAAAGTCACAATTTCTTACACGTAAACAACCATTTGAATTACGTGAAAAGTTTTGCTTATGATCGTGGACATTTCCAAAGTAGTATTAATTGAGTGTTTCTTAGAGAACCTGTGACTCAAAAAAGAATCTTGGCACTGCTCTCAGAGCAAAACATTACTGAAAGTCTAACTGTTACTCGGGTGTCGGTCGAGTGCCGTAAAGATGGCGCCGGAGTACAATCGCTGTTTATTTGTCAAACACGATGGCAGTAGGAAAAGCTTCATTTTAGTCCTGGGTTGCCAACTGAGTGTTGTCCCCTTGGAATCTGAGCTGTAGGATTGAGTCGATCCACACTGGGCTTAGTGCTTCAGTCTGCTTGACCCGTTTTGCGTTTGTGTACAAGAGTCTCTTTAGAAGAACCTGCCCCTGCGTACGCAAAATAAAAATATTTATTGGCTTACTACCTTTTAAGGTACAGTTCATGGCATGGCTTATAATGATTCTAATTTCCCGTACTAAACATAAACAAATCGATTTTATCATCTCAGCCTACCAAAATTTCTTTAAAATAAGCTTTAAATACTTCTAACGTTGGAGCAGAGTAACTCCAATTTTTCACCCTTGAAATATTTTTTGTGGAAAACGGAAAGAAACATGTAGCTGTTATCATTACAAGGAAAAGTGAGTGCGATTAACTTGTTCCTGATTGGTTGAAAGTTAACATGTAGCTCTGATTTTTTATCTAGAGCAAGATCTCAGCAGAAGATCATTTGAAAGTACTCATTTGAA